ACAAAATGTTGTCCGGACGTGCCTGACAGTGGCATTAACAACCTGGACATAATATACCCCGTGTACAAACAGTCCGAGAGTTTCGTGATAGTGCCTTCGGTAAGAAATCCCGTTTAAACTAAAATGTCGCTCCGATATTCCCCGTATAATTTCCAAGGCTCTTTAAGTTCCCACTATTCCCGCAAGAACGGAACGGCGCTAGATATGCAAACGATTCCACATTTCTTCTCGGTTTGTTTGCCAGCCTCTTTCTACGACCAGGATACCAGCCGAGCTCAGCTCGCAATCTAATTGAACGAAACGGCTACGTGAATCACTATCAAATACGCATTTCGAAATTGCCACAAGGAATGTATAACTTACCATTGTCCCAAATCGTTCGCCAGTTTTCAGACTCTAGCAAATCGTCCGAAAGTTTCAACACTTTTCTTATTAAAAAATTTAACGTCTCAATAACTCTCCACCAGCTTCCCAGGAAGATACTCGGATCCTCAAATTCTAAGGAAAACTCTGTCTACTCCATATCTATATTACACGCGGGTTATTCAGGACTATTGTACCACCCGAAGGTGGTTCCATCATGTAAATCAGTACAAATCGAATGGATAGAACCACCTTCAGGTATCGCAACCGAGTAACCGGGTATACAGGTCCATTCAGGCGTAGTGCAACACCTGAAAGTGATTATGCCATAGAAATAAAGCAAACACGCTCCAACTTCAGGTCTGTGGAATAATCCTGTGTAAACATTCTGTGGTACATATCTCTTGCTCGTGGAAATGCGTTAGGAGGATGTTAATTAACGTAACGGGAATATGAGGATAATTACTTTGCTCGATTGGCCCGTGGAAAGTTCGCTCGTTATCGAAGTACAATGTACACGGTGCAAAAGGTACGTCGATTACCTTACGCTGGGATAGACGGTGGCTTGCGTTTTCCGCGCTCTTGTCTACCGATCGTAGTCGCTCCTCCGGATGCCCGAGGGACACGGACAGTCAGGGCCGGAGAGTGCGAGTCTCCCAGAGACAGGAAGTACCACCTCGGGCCAAGTTCTCTGTTCCAATTACACTGACCGTGTGCCGTGCGCCAACGCCGACTCCTCGGCCAAAATCGAGCGCTTAGTCATGCAAGAGTTCATTAACCAGTCGCCCTTACCATTCCGTCGAGCCGGCCACCTACCTACCGTGTAACCTGGGCTTTGCCCAAACACCTCTCTCTAGTATGTTTGGTGACGATCGGATGTACAAGGGCGGATGACCACATCACTCGTCGACCAGCTGAACTCATCAGAGTTTCAGATATTCACAGAGCCAGATTTCCTGCATTGAAATTTTTCCAAATTTCTTCTACACCTCGCTATCGCCATTTTACTTAGCTTCTTTATACTTCACGCGGACACTTGGGCCACTTCACTGAAGTACGCGGAGGGGGCGACCGTTCAGCACTCGTCCAGCCCAGCCCTGGTAACCCTCTAAGAACCCGATTTCTCCTAGACGCTCTACGTCCCTGGAAAACGCCATTAGCGTAAAAGCACGAATTATGCAAGACACGAGGAGGAAGCGGCAAGATTGAAGGGCCAAGATAGCCGTTGCTCCATTATTCACTTCAGCCGAGTTCCGAAGTTGCCCGTGGTAACTAATGAGGTTATTACAACTCGCAAACAATTTTATTGCCCTCGCAGGACCATCAACACCCCGCGGACTTCGAGCAACCTGTTCGCTACTGGCTACGATTACTCTTTGCACCTGTGCGTCCGACTAATTCAAAGAAAAAGTTCACTCTGCCTATAGCGATAGTGCGGGTACTGATACACGGAATTAAAAATGGGTTTACTCGAAAATTATATATCCAATAAAAAATTTACCCTATAAATCTTCCATACTTTCTGAGACTCTCCTACTTCTCTGACGTGTCTTCCTAGTACATTTCAAAGTACCTGGATGCTTCCCAAAAGCATGTAGGTTAGGCGGGTTCACGCGAGTATACGTACACGCATGTAAATGGATATCCAGTTAAAATCTAGATTCTTCGAACGACTCTACCTCGGCGTCTCGGCCGATGTTTTTCCGTCTCCGGGGAATTTTATCGCGTCGCTTGTAATAACGTTTCCACGTATAAGAAAGTAGCGCTGGTATGAGGACGTAGGGAAAGAAAGGACTCTCTCGCAGCCCTGGGAGAGAATCCAATCGCAATAGAGTTAAGTGTTCAGGAGTAAAACCTAGCTGAGGCGCGACCTCGATTACTCGCGGAAGATTTGTTACGGCCAACCACCCCCCGAGTCCGTCCCCTCTACGTTCTAACCCCATACGGCTACCCTTACACACCGGCAGTCTACGGCCGACGATTTCAGTCCGGACACCAAACTGCGTTAGCTCGAGGAACGAAAAAACAACCGCAGAGCTTCTGCCATCCCTTTGGTCCAGCTTTATACTACACGCAGCATCACCGTTACTACCCTTTCTGCTGTTCATTGCATTCTCTCGCTCTCTTTCTCTCCGATGCTTTTCACATACGTGCTATCTCACTCTCGATCCTGGCAAACACCATGAACTTCTGATTGGCAAACTTAGTCGTTCACCGATTCAGCGTTGTCACTGCGGAACAGAATTTTTTTCCGAATCTTTTTTTTCGCCCCACTCTATCTCGTATTATTTAGTCAGATTTGCCTGAATCCGACGCATCCTGGCGCTCTCGTCTTATTTCGAGCTGCAAAACCATCTCGACGCCATAACTGGTAACGATGCGACCAACACGTGAAGCCGTTACCGCCACGTGCCGCTATAATATCGGGTAAAAGTTTGTCTAGCGGATGAGAGAAAATAATTTGATACGGCTCCAGCCTCCCTTGCAAAGGAAGGGAGAAACAATATCACCTAAAATTACAGCTTCCATAGACATTCTGCCTATACTTTGTATCAAGTTAGACAGCTCTTCGCGATTTCTATAATTTTATCACTGTCCTTATTTCTTTCCTTTCGTAAACCTCTCTACGTTTTCTTTGAGATACCTGATGATATTTTTTTCATTTCAATTGATTTCAGTAAATCAAAGGTCAGGCACTCGAACACCTGCAGCATCGATTATCTCGCTACGATAGACACTTATTAGATTGATAAAAAAATTGTGCAAAATAACCCATTTAGATAAAATCAAGAGAAACTTATTGTTTTTCAATCGACTGATGGCATGTTATAACAAATATGATAAAAATGACTCAACAGAGCCTGCGCTGTTATCTTATTGTTAGCTCTATCGTATACTTACGGTTAACAACAACTTATTGACTTCATTTGACTAGACTCGTGTGAATCAAGTAAATAATGTTTAATAACTCAAACGACAGAGATATTGAAGGGACTGTACTTTAAATGTCACTTTAAATTGGAATTTGGTCGAAATGACTGTACACAGACAGGATATGCCTATGCTTTAAGTAGGTCCAAATATATATTACAATATTTTCTTACTTGACTATACTGCTCATACTTGTACGAACTGATATATTTTTCTACTCACAGCCGTAAGATTGGTTTGAGTCGATAGAATTTATTTTATCTTTTTTCTTACCAACCATTTTCATTCTCAGGCTACGTAACTGACTAATTGACTAACTGTCAGACTTGTTACAAGGCAAAGGTGCACGTTCCGATTCCGTAATTTTCATTTTTACAAGCTGTCCCCGTTCCCGGTGCAATTAGCCGGCGAAGACATTCTTAATGGAAGTCCTGAGCAGAAAAGTCTGGACTTCAGGTGGGAGGTGCAGAGCGAAGAGAAGCCTGAAAGAAATAGCGAAAAAGAGTCACAGCTACTCCATTGCGTGACGAAGGGTTCGGGAAATGAAGTTAATCCTTTTTCTTTACACTCACTTCATTTTCACCTTCTGCTGCCCCCATCCCAATCTAGTAACCAAGCGAGAAGAGTAGCTCGGGTTGAATAATATCATTTTGAATTTATATTACCTACCGAGCTCGTCGGTAAAGGTGCCGGAGAGTAGGACGAAGTCGAAGGAGTCACGAGGACGAAATTGCGTTAAATCCTTCCAAGAGGAACTACTACGGTGTGTTCCACATTGAGTGGAAAAGTTAAGAGGCGAGTTCAACGTTGATTCTTTATAGTCGTATTCGCGCTATGTTAAAATATCGCGAACTTTCCTATTACGACGCTTCTGGAATCGAGAGGCTTATTAAATTATAACAATTTTAATTAGAGCTCCTGGCGGTAGAGCTAAAGACACTTACTGTATATACAGAGTACATGTATATGTATATAGTACCAAGGAAGAGAGAGACAGAGATAGATATAGGTGCCGGATGTATCGAGTGCAATAGTGTTAAGGCAAAAGGTAAATGGGAGGAATTGAGAAGAAGAGAGAGAGAGAGAGAGAGGGAGAACGTGCAAGTGAAGGAAAGGGATCGAAAAGGGAACAGAAGCCTTTACTTTCCTTTTAAAAGTTAGCGCCACCTGCTCAAACATCGCCTCTTCTTATTTATCGAGCACCGAGGCCATTCGCAACACGCGGCGCGCTTTGCTTCCTCGTTCAATTGGCAGAACTTTCGGAGTTTCAGTAACGAACCGAGACTAAAAAACGAGACGCAGGAGTTTAAACGTTCGCCTTCTCGGCATCTAGCTTCTTCTTCGGGATCTCTTGCCTTCTTTCCTAATATCTATCTTCCCCTCTCTCTCTCTCTCTCTTTATCGTAGAATTCCCGTTAGCCGCGTGACTAATAATTTCAAAATAATCTTCATATCAGCACAATCTTGCTCGGGCATAGTTCAAAGTATGAAGATTATTTGGTTCAATATCTCACAGGAAATCACGACTTGAGAGTGTCATTGACTTTTTCTCGAAATTAATAAGACGTTTCGAAATTGATTCCGATAAAGGTCATCGCTTGATATTGAACAAGAGCATCCACCTGCATAGCACAGATTTTTCATCGACTTATCGCACTATCGATTGACCATCGATGCCGATATCCTAGCCCATTGAAATTTCGCACCTGGTGACAGTCTAATCTTATCACACAATTAGTGAGTGATCAGTGATTGGTCTGATATTAAAACCGGTCACGTGGTCGGTTTAGGTTTCATATATAAACCCATGCGAAATTACTCGAATCATCACACTGCAGTGTTCCAGCGCTTTAAAGGTAAGCCTTATAATTACACCTGCAATCAGGAATTATCGTATACTGACTATAGCTAGTTAGTTCGGTCTGTTCAGTCTTATAACTATTTACTGTGTATTTTTCATAACCATATATTTTTTTTCGATTCTCCCAGATGAAGTACTCTCTGGCATTCTTGGCTGTCTTGGCTCTGGCTTCGGCCAGTCCTGCCCACGACATCAAAAGTCGTTCCACCACCCTCCACGAGGACCTCAATGACTTCCTGGCTCTTCTGCCTACTGACCAAATTGCTGAAATCGTCGCTGAATACGTCAACGAAGACAAGGAAATTGAGGCTGCTCTCGAATACTTGACATCTGACTCATTCGTCACCCTGGTCCAGAGCGTTGATCAGATCCCAGAGTACATCGCTTTCCTGAACTATATGCACAATGCTGGTCTTGAGGTCTACACTTACGTGAACGCTATTCACGAAGCCCTTGGCCTTGACAAGCTTCCCGTACCTGCGGGCAGAAACGTTGAAGCTGCTCGTTCCGTCAGCAGGATCACCGGAGGAATTGCTAGTCTCATCGCCGATATCAAGGCTATCCTTCCAACCGAGGAAATCTCTGCCCTCTATGACACAAAACTCGCGGAATCCCCAGCCTTCGCCGCGTTCGTTGCTCAAATTGAATCCGACGAATTCCAGACCATCATCGATGCTCTCGTTGCCAACGAGGAATACCAGAAGCTCCGTGAGAAGGCCTTAGCTGCTGGAGTCGACGTTAACGCCATTGCTGCACTTTTATCCTCAATCTTCGGCATCAAGGTCTAAACAACTTACGACGGATAATCATTGAAATTTTGTATATGTTGGAATTGATGTAATGTAAACATTAAAAATACAAGTATTTTGTGATTCAAACTAGTGTTCGAACTTGTCCCTTGGGAAAAAAAAATTTCACGTAATAAAATCTAAGTTTAGTATCTGTCTGGTCAGATCCAAAACGTCGTGATCGGATAAACGGCAATTTTCGATCTGACTTTTCCCGGGTTGTAAATAAATGCAAAACAGTTTTTTTTTTTTTTGAGTAAAAATGTAATTCACCAACTTCACGCGTATCTCGTTCAACGACGTTGAACGATCTCTAAAAGTATGTAGAAGTATCGTGTTGTATAAAATATAAAAAAAAAGTAATTCTACCGGTATCCACAAATTCGAAAAATGCCATCACACGAAATGAATCCTACAAAAGTAATCTTTGGCTCCGTGCAAGAAAAAACATAACCCACGCCCTGTTACAATTTGCGAAACAGCATGAAACTCGCATCTCCATAAGTAAGTAAAATCCGGACTCGGGAGCTCGAACGAGACCGTGATTAAATTGTTTAAACGCAATTCACCGTTATTCACAGCTCGTAGGAAGTTTGAAGTTCGCAGCAGCAAATAGGTGGGAAGATAATGGGTACCGAGAAGCAGCAGCACGAAGTCGTTCTTATCGCGCGAAAGAAACTTTTAGCTTGCCAGTGAACGGAGTGACATAAATTTAAAGGAATACCGGATTTGAAAACGCTACCAAGAAACCACCAGGTGGATAGAAGAACCTCGACGTTATTCAGGATGAACGGTGCTCTGGTGGTCGTGGGGATGGTCGTCGTATCCATCTTGCTCGCAAGTATCCTGGCATACGAGAGCAGGGCCACGAGAAGAAGTACAGAGATGGAAGTTAGTACTAAAAATTCCCTGGACGAGGACCTACAAGACATCCTTGAATTCGTCCCTTTGAAAGAGGTGGAAAAAATAATCAATGATTATCTCATGTACGACAAGCAGATACACGAGACTGTACAGTTTGTGGACGAGATGAAAAATTTCGTCCTGGAGGATTTAAAACGGATTCCTGGTATCCTGAATTTTATGAATTATTTACAATCTCAGGGATTGGATATGGAGAATTGGTCCAGGAAGATAAAAGGATTCTGGATGTGCAAGCCTAATTTCGTAGAATCCAATCAGAAGATGGCATCCGGTGGACTCACGACGATGATCAATAGGATACAGAAGATCCTTCCCAAGGAAGAGCTCCACGAATATCTTCGTCAAAAGCTTCGTTACTCGCGGAGCTTTCGTAATTTTATAATACTCATAAGCTCCGATCACTTCGTCGAACTTTGCGAGTCCGTCGAGAAGAGCGTAGGGCTACAGAGAGAATATTTCTGGGCGACCGAAGCTGGCATCGAGACAACGTTCACTTTGGAGCTGCTGAAGGATCTATACGTGTACCTAACGGAGACTCTGGTCTGATGTATACAAGGTGGAGAGAGCTTAAGAGTATAAAATAACAGATTCGATAAGACGTTGAGTAAACTAAAGAAAGAAGCCGAATGACCCCGGAGTGGTAGTAGATAATCCAAAGCTGAGGTAGTAGGATTTACTCGTGAAGCAGATCCCCGATCGGTATCGGGACAATTCCGAAATCCTGAGAAGAACTTGGAGACTGGAGAAAGTTCGAGATTTCGATTGGTTTCATTTCGAAATCCGACAGCGGAAGGTCTCCTCGGGTATTTCAACGGCCAGCTCCTGGACCATCCTGAAGAGCCCGTGGGATAGGAGGAATTAATTCCGCTCAGGAAGATATCCAGGGGTCTATGAGTGGAAAGGCTACGGGGTGGGTTTCAGGGAGAATTCTGAAGAGCAGAATGGGCGAGTTGGTTAGGTGGTAAAGCGTGGGAGGATGCGAAGAGAAAGAGGTGAAGGAATAGGAGCAGGGAGATAGGTGGGGAGCCACTGTGGGAGCACGAGGAGGTGAATGTGGAAGGTGGGCGAGGGCAAGCAGTTCGCGGTGTCTGCGGCAAACAATTCCAATTAACTTGCTGGAATTGAAATAGGACTCGTCCGTCCTGTCGGCCGACCTTTTGCATTGTCCCCGAGCGAGGATAAGCCTGCGCTTCCTTTCCTATGTTTTTCTGATTACACTCTCGGCCTAGGTTGCTAATTAGTACCCGCCCTTATGGGGACCAAAGGGATTGCGGATAACGAGGCTGACCGCTCTGTCAAACGAAAAACGAGCTGACACGATGCTCCTGTCTGATCTTGGTCATAGGATACGTACCTTGTTACATGAACAGGATCCACAGGGATATTCAGGGTGATAACACGCGAATGACAGAGAGTAATGCAGAGTGCCTTAGCTGTCCAAAATTATAATCCCATACTCGTATATATATTCTGATAAGAAGTTGCCCTTTTCCGTAGCGGATCAAACGATCAAATGGATCAATTGAATTTAAACGTTAAGTTTGCCCAATCTCTTTTTCGGTTGCTTTCAATGCCGGGAAGTTCAACTATTATCCGTGCCATAATGCCCATCATCGTCGGCACAGCCTCCCATATAGGACAGTCCCTCAGACAATGCAGGTCCTGAGCTGCTCAGATATTGAAGACGCCCGAAAGCAGTGTGTACCAATCCCAATGTGTACCCAACGTCTAGCCCGACTCTCTACATTATTAAATCCTTCCTTCCTACCTTCCTGCCGGGCTTCCTGGTTCCCCACCTTACGTAAAGGCTAGTTGGTCTGGGACAATGACAGTCTTAGAGGGGACCGTAACATCGGCTATATATCTAGATACCTCGATCCTGCTCCATCACAAAGCCCTAAACTTTTCTGTAGTTCTGTAGCACAGTTCGACTTTCTTCCGGCTCCCAACTTCGAACGAGCAAGGATCTAAATTTATATATTTCTCGTCACTCCTTTGGCTCAGGATTCCCATAGACTTCATCTTGGTCTAGCTTGTCTCTCCAGATTTATTTTCCTGATTTTTTTTTCGCCGACTGGCTGCCACAAGCAACCGGAGTCCAGTGACGTATTGGTACTCAGGTATAATTACCAGAGGGATTTGTAAAATCGTCGCTACTTTTTTTTTTATCAGAGTTCGCTTCAGTGAAAACGCGTATTAGTCTCGTTCATTCCAGAGGTGGCTTAATCCTTGAAATAATGTAACCTATTTGTTTCCAGAAAGAATTTCAGGTGGTAGGATTGTTCGCTAGTAAGGAGAAATGAGGTGAAATCGCGAAGCGGGCGAAGAAGACATTTAGAAGTAGGTAGCAGACTGATCCGCTTATACTGGGTTTAAAAGTCAAGTGCCAAGAGCGCAATTCAGCCCTCGCGGGAGGAGGACGCCTGGAATTGAGGCTGAGCGGACCAAAGGAAACAGAGGAGCTTTCGGAGAGGAATGCTGCTGAAAGAGGAAAAGTGGAAAAAAGGACGAATATATGGCACTACAAACCTACCACGTTCTCCTCTTTAACCCTCCATCCAGTACACTTTACCCCACGACAACATTCCCTCTCAACTCTGTCCCCAGCGTCACCCCGCTTCCGCCACTTCATTGAATGACTCATTTTCAGTATGAAAATATTATTTCGTTCAGGAAACACGGTTTTTCCCGATACTTTTCTGGATGGCAGCTTGATCGGAATTGAGGATCCGGAAATACGTACGTCCGGAAATATGTACGTCGAAGAACAACCCTTTTACCTGATCTAAATTTTGTTTACTATAACACTCCCTTAAAGTTGTACCTTATACAATGATAAACGCATGAAATATTATTATTATTTATACGACCCTATACGTATATAACTACAGCTCTTTATTCAGAGGCAACAAAACACCACTGAAAAGCCACCATTTTAAATCTCTGAAACCCTTCGGTCGACCTGACTTCCATCTCCCTCCTGCTGCCACCGCGAAACTTATCGAGTCGCGACTTGTTGCGCGTCCACTCGCCCGCGAAATTGTTTTATGCCGCCATTTTTATCCTCAAGTTTAGCCAACGATTAATAACCTTACGAAAGGATAAGCCTCTGGTGGATATGCAGTGGTGAGAATTTTGAATGACGTAAATATATCATCCAACCCGCAAAATCACGCGTGACTCCGATGATCGGCATTTCCTTGTAAACGAATCGACCGGAGAGATTTTACGTTGTGAACGTAACCTAAAGAGAATAAATCATATAGCAGCACTGTAATACAATCCGCTGTATAATTCAGCCATTTGAATCCTACTACGAGACTGATAAAGGCATTTGCTGTTCACCTCTGTAATACATAGGCTCACCCGTTAGAGATCTAACTGGTATCCTGTAGCTTTTGTAGCACGCGTCTATGTGCGTTTAATCGGACTAGATTGTACTTAATTAAGCTCTTTGCGGCATCCAAGTCAAACGGCGTTTGTCATACACTTGCTGTATAAACAGACGAGCAGTTAAACCGTACGAGCGTAAATTTCGACAGGAACATTTACTGGTCTCTCCCTCGTATACGTGCGAGAGTATATCTATATATATGAATTCTCTTGGTTTATACTACTTGAAAAAAGTTTATTTACAAATGCATAATCTATATTAGCAGGTTTACTGATCACTCATTTTTTTTATTAATAAAAACATTCGCGTTCCTTGTATATTGAAAGGACAAATCAATTGGCATCGATACAGAATCGCCGTCTGCTGCAGTTTACAGGTACAGGAATACTTCTTATTTGAAGGAACCGAGACTTTTCACGACGTATTGACAATTGAGAAATTGAATTTCCATCTCCGAGTCCGTTTCAGCTTGAGTCACATTGCAGTAGCCGGTTAATGCTTATGCACTGAATACATGCTAAACGGCAATTAAAGCTCAGCAATAGAATTGCACAGTGTCACAGAAGCCATTAGACATTCCATTGTGTTCCACTGTCCGTTTGTTCCCGAGTTTGCAGGTGGTTCCTTATGAAAAAGCTTCTGTGTGCATGGGGTATTATCAGAACGGAGGCTTCGTAATCAGAGCGCGATGGCCCGACGGGGAAATTTGCAGTCGGATCACGTCGTTATTTAACGAGATTATGTCGTTAACCAGCCGGATGCAAGCTCGCCGATTGGGATTGCAGTATGAAATTAAACTTATCTATTTTTACTGATTAACGGGCGCTACATGCGAGCACCGTAATTGCCTTTACTCGAGCGAGCCTGTATTGCCGTTCGACGCGGAGCTTCTCGAAAATCGAAGGAAGGCCGTTTGGGAATTCGTGAAATGGAGAAGCACCAACCGAATCGACAAGCAAACCTGATAGGCGTCAGCACGGAGAGAAATAAAGAGCGTTATGAGATTGGCGGGAAATTTGAAAATTTAAAATCGAAAATAATTATCATTTGCTTATCTGAAGGTAAAAAGCGGTGACTAACTCGAATCTTTTACAATGTATTTACAACCTATTTCGGCAACCCTCGTTAAGGGTTGGTCCTCTTAGAAAAGCAGTACCCGCTGTAGTATAGGGATGAGCTTGAAAAGTTCTTAGAGTTCGAGTTGGGTTTGTTTCGCGAGGGTGAATGCCCATTCGCTGTCAAACAGTAATAGCACCCCCAATGAGCCTATCAATAACATATCTCTCGAGCCACCCCTGAGATGAATGAATGAATTTCGCACGTGCCTGCTCCAATAAGTATTGGAATGCCATAATGGATGCCGCCTTCGGAATATCGGAGACGTTCTACCCAACGCGAATAAGGGTGCGTTTACGACCCGGCACTTCATCGCCGTCGTATTACAACCAGGAAAAAAATCTATATACCCTATCGTTATCACCCTCTGGTAAAAGGAAGATTCCGAAAATTATTTTGAAAAATCTTTAAACCGTAGTATTAAATTTTTTTAACGATTCGTGCCTCGACTGTACTACGTCAAAAAAAAAGCCATCGAGCGCACCCTTGACACTGGCAGGACTGCTTCTTTGCGAAGTACGTCAAAGCCAGTGACATTAGCATCCCCGTGATCGATCGACAAAAGCACTCGCCAAACGTGTCGATTATTGACTCGGCAAGGGTATGACGAACTGAAAATTAGAAAAAAAATAAATTTCTATTATATTTCCAGTAAACCGATTTCTCCGCAAGGCAACATCCGACCTCGGGTATTTATCACTTGCAGAGAAAAATCTTCTGTAAGCAGACACGTTCCTGGTCCATAAATGCGATGTAGAGTATCAATCAATACGCACAACAGATCGATACAGTAGCCGTAAAAGGTAAGAACGTCAAAGCACAGCATAAGGGATGCTGACGTAGGAGGTAGAAATGATTTCTACATGCAGAATTTACAGACTAATTCCATGTTCGATACAACGTGCTGTTCAAGGCTGTGATGCTACCGGCATCGCATAGGCGTAATACTGGATAAGCCGCAATAATGCAACCGGGCCATGCGTACATACGAAAGGGGTAATAGCAGATATGGATATAGATATACAAACGTATACAGATCCATAGAAATGACTATAGCACCAAGGCTGGTTACCCGTGGAACAACCTATAGCCCGACGCCGAGCGTCCATGAAAGCGTAATCCTCGAACCGATGCGTCGCATCCTCGGGATTTTCGAAATTCGATACTTTGCCTATCTCTCCGCGCGGGCAAATAGCGTATACCGACGGGGATCCCCGAGTAAACTGGATGCCGACTGTCAGATATATATTTCAAGTGTTGAAGTTGGTTGCGATGCCGAGTGGTAGGTTTACGGCTAAAGTAAAAGTTCCTGCGGAGTTATCGCCAGGACTTAAGGGGCTGCGAGGTAATCGACGCCTCGCCATTGGGTGAGAGCCCTCGCGGATTTTACTTGAGCAGGGGCGGCCTAATACGTCAGCAGCCGGAGATGACGAGTAACAATGGGCGCGTTAAACTCCCGCCGGTAATTAGCATAAAACATTAAGAATACACGAGGCAATTTCGCCGGCTATTTTTCACCATAATCTGCGGTGTCCGGAGCCTTCCCAGGGTTGCTGCTGCCGGCGGGTGCCCGAAGCTCGCGCGGGGGTTTGTTTTACCACTCTGAAATGTATTCATTTCGTTCCTTCTGTAACGGAGACAGATGACGGGCAAAGGGGTAGTGGCTCGCGAGAGCGCCGGGATTTCGAGGGCTCAGCAAATGGGAAAAGGGTTGAAAATATTAGGGTGCCACTGAGGTTAGCGGGAGGCGGGGGGTTGGTGATTTAAAAAATGACACCTTGACGAGGTCGGGTAATTTGACATGCGCAATGCGTTTTAATGAATTTTATCTACTGTCTGGATTAGCCAACGTATTATACCCTTTAGTTACTCCCTCCGTATCATCCCTCTGTGCCTGCACAGCGACCATACAAACCAGTTGGACAGCCTCGTCTCCCAGTCCCATACGAATGGCTATTCCACTTTACTTCACATTATCTGTAAAATCCCTGGCGCCAAACCGTGCGGATTACAACGAGCGGAATAATACACTAGGTTTGAATTTCGAACCTTCGCGTAATATGAATGTACGTTTGAAAAGTACCTAGTCAAGGATTTATACGAATAATCTAGGGAATTATTCAGCCCCTCAAAAAGTGAACGATATATGCCGGAATACTTACAGGTACTGTATGTCTACTGATTTGGGAGACATTTTTTTTTTGTACTAAAATTTTCAAATTTTTTTTTTTCAAAATTTTCTTCATTCCACTTACATTTTCTTTGTCTTTGTCTTACAACCCTCGATGAGACGCAGCATCCCAGATACAGGGGCTGCTAGCCATTCAGCCATGTGACTACGGAAACAAGTGAAGCTCCCGAAGCTCCGTGCCATTGGGCCTCTTTACAATGCCAGCGACGACGGGACGTCGTCCCGTCGTCGCTGGCAGGATGGATGTAATGCGATTATTCAGTTTTATTTGTTCCCACGGTAATCGAGTTAAGCATTAACTCTCATCGGTGCGAGGACAGGAAGCCGAGGAGGAACAGGACGGAAGTAAAGTCCTGACGGGAGGGAATTGAAAGCATCTCCAAGCAGACGACGTTGCTTGCTAAACAATGCGCCACATCTGCGATTCGCCTTAACGGAATTTATCGCTAGGCTACGGTTCCTCTTCTGTGAGAAGTAGCTTTATTTCTTTTATTCTTTACCTTTTTCTTTACAGCTTCCCTATTTACACGGATAAGCACTACGGATAAGAT